ATTTATTTGTCTTTTTGAGACAAGGTCTCTTTGTAGCTGCAACTGGCCTGGATTCACTATGAAGATCTGGCTGGCCTCAAACTCCAGAGATCTGCCTGCCTTAGCCTCCCGAATGCTGGGATTTTTAAATGCCAGCTTTTTTTTTTTAATTTTTTTATTTTTTAAGTAGTTTAAAGCCAAGATCTAAAATTGAACTGTCTAATATGGTAGCTACCAGCCACATGTGGCCATTTAATCAGGGCCGGTGGTGTAGCTCAACAGTGATTAATGTCTGCTTTGCATATGCTAGGAGCTGGGTTTGAGCTCCTGCATAGCAAAAGTAAATAGTGGGGCTGAAGAGATGGCTCAGTGGTTAAGAGCACTGACTGCTCTTGCAGAGGACCTGGGTTCGATTCCCAGCACCCACATGGCAGCTATGAATCATCCTTAACTCCAGTTCCAAGGGAATCAGAAGCCCTCTTCTGACCTCCATGGTATTGCACGACATGGGTGCACTCACATACATGCAGGCAATACACTCATATGTAAAATAAAAATAATAAATAAAATATTTAAAAAATAAATAGTGAAACATAATCATTTTCTTTCTTAGTGGAACTAAGCCACTTTTTTGTTCGTTTGTTAGTTTTCAGACAGGGTCACATATATCCTATGCTGGCCTTAAATTCCCTGAGGATAACTTTGAATTTCTGATCCTCCTGCCTGCCTATCTCCCATGTTGGAAAAGGAGTGTGGGCCACCATACCTGGTTTATTTAGCCCTAGGGATTGAACCCAAGGCTTCAGGCATGCTAGACAAAGCACTTTATCAATTGAACCACATTCCTAGCCCATGAACTAGCCACATTTTCAAATGTTTAGTCATCACATGTATCTACTTTGTGGAACAGATGAACATCTCGAGGGCTGGTGATATAGGTCAGTGGTAGAGTACTTGCCTAGCATGTATAAGGCCCTATCTTCCATGTCTAACATTGTTAGGGATTTTTTGTTGTTGTTTGTATTTCTATCACCACAGAAAGTTCTGTTTTTTTCTATCACAGAGCTAGAAAACATTTATAAATGTCTTCCTTGTGAATTTTTTTTTCTTTTTTTGGTCTTTTTGAGACAGGGTCTCCCTGTAGCCCCAGCTGTCCTGGAACTCACTATGTAGACCAAGCTGTCCTTGAACTCACAGAGATCCGGCTGCCTCTGCCTCCTGAGGTGAATTTTTCTAAAGGCCTATGAACGCTTTTCGAAGATTAAATATGAGGGAGAAACTGAAATGACAGAGAATGAGCTATTGTAGGTGTAAAAGTGAAGGAGAACACAGACAAGGAGAAAATTCAAGTTAAACAGGCTGGCTTGGTGGTGCATGCCTGTGATCCCAGCACTCAGGAGGCTGAGGCAGAAGGACCACTACAAGTTCAAGGCCAGCCAAGTGAGACCTTGTCTCACTATGAAAGTCAAAGAATGTGAAGGAGACATAAAGTGATCAAACCAATTTTTTGCTAGGGAGAAAGTTCAGGAAGAAGTAGAAAAACCTCTGGAATTTTGGTTGCAGTTTTCAAATCATAAAATACTGACCACTGGGATAGCAGTAGTTAGATCTCAAATCAGACAATATCTTCCTGGTATCTTGGTAGCATGTTGTATGTTTCCCTAGCCCATGTAAGAAAGGATAATTTTCAACTTTTTTTTTTTTTTTTTTTTTTTTTTTTTTTTTTTTTGGTCTTTTTGAGACAGGGTCTCCCAGTAGCCCCAGCTGTCCTGGAACTCACTATGTAGACCAGGCTGGCCTTGAACTCACAAAGATCTGCCTGCCTCTGCCTCCCAAGTGCTGGGACTACAGGCATGTGCCATCACCCCAGCTAATCTTCAACTTTTGATCCTCATTCCTCCACATCCTGAGTACTAGGATTATGGAGTGTATCACCAAATCCATTTTTACACAGGGCTGGAAACTGAACCCAGGGTTTCATGCATGCTAGGCAAGCACTCTACCAACTGAGCTACATCACCAGCCTGTTTTTGCCTTTTTGAAGCAGGGTTTTGATATGTAGCCCAGGCTGGCCTTGAACTCACTATGTAGCTGAACTCATTATGTTTAGCTGGCCTTGTACTAGCAGTCAGTTTCCAGAGTGCTGGCATTACAAGTGTGTGCCACCATGTCTGGCTTAAGAGTTACATTTGCTATGGAGGCCAAAAAAAGAAATCTAAATTTCTTCAGTTAAAACTGCCTTATGGGGGGTTGAAGAAGTGGCTCAGCAGTTAAGAACATTGGCTGTTCTTGTAGAGGACCGAGGTTCGAATCCCAGCACCTACTTGACAGCTGGTAGCCATCCATAACTCCAGTTTCAGGGGATCCAAAGCCCTCTTCTGACCTCTTCAGGCATTGTACAACATGGGTGTACTTGCATATATGCAGGCAATACACTGATACACATTAAATAAAAATAAATTTTTTTTTTTTTGTCTTTTTGAGACGGGGTCTCTCTGTAGCCCCAGCTGTCCTGAACCCACTATGTAGACCAGGCTGGCCTTGAACTCACAAAGATCTGCCTGCCTCTGCCTCCCAAGTGCTGGGATTAAAGGTGTGCGCCACCATGCCCGGCTAGACTAATTTTTTAAATTAGACTAATTTTTAATTTTTAAAAATTTTCATTCTCTCTTCCCATTGTTCTAATTGCACATGATGTGACTGTCTTGTGAGGTGATTTCTTTTCCTCCTTTTTTTTTGAGACAGGGCCTGGTACTCATAGGTAGTACAAGCAGGGCTACTTGAGGCAATTCTCCTGAATATTGGGATTACAGAGGTGTGTCACCATACCCTGCTTTGTGAAAATTTCTTTTGTTTGTTTGTTTGTTTGTTGAAACAGTCAGTCTTACATAGCCCAGTCTGGTCTTCAACTTCATGTGTAGCCAAGACTGGCCTTTTAACTACTGATCTTCCTGCCTCTACTTCTCAAGTGCTGGGATGTGCCACCGTGCCCACTGTGAAAGGGACTTCTCATTTAACACTGGTATATGGTAAAAGACTCAAACATGATTGAAAGCTAGACTACTGCCCTAAATGTGGATGGTACCATTCCATGAGCAGGGGTCCTGAACCGAATAAAAAGAAGAAAGCAAGGGGCTAGAGAGATGGCTCAGTGGTTAAGAGCACTTGCTGTTTTTACAGAGGACCCAAGTTCAATTCCCAACACCCATTTTAGCAACCTAACAACTGCTTGCAATTCTAGCTCTAGGGAATCTGATGCCCTCTTCTGGCCTCCAAGGGCACTGCACACATATGAGTATATATCACCTACAAATTTTTTTTTTCTTTTTTTTGAGACAGGGTCTCCCTGTAGCCCCAGCTGTCCTGGAACTCACTATGTAGACCAGGCTGGCCTTGAACTCACAGAGATCTGCCTGCTTCTGCCTCCCAAATGCTGGGATTAAAGGCGTGTGCCACCACGCCCAGCCCTACAATTTTTTTTTTAAAGAAAGATTTAAAAAAGAAAAATAAGAGCTGAGCACAAGAATTCATTATTATCTGTTGTCTAGATGTAATGTAAGCTGCTTCCCACCCCTGCCTTGTACCATCTTCCCTGCTATGATAGACTATCACCAGGGACTGCAAGCCAAAATCTTTCCTTTCTTTAAAAAAAGAGGCCAGTTAGGTGGTTCAGTTGGTAACAGTCCTCACCACCAAGCCTGCAAACCTGAGCTTGGTCCCCAGGAACCACATGGCAGAAGGAGAAAACAGGCTCCTGCAAGTTGTCCTCTGACCATGCACACTATGGACATGTGTACATGTGTGTACACATAAAATAAATGTAATAAAAATTACGCATCTATATAAAGCTAGGCTAATTTCTCTTTCTCAATGTGTCCATCTCCTCGCCATTCTCCAGACTTCAGTTTTTAAAAGATTTTTGTTTTTGATGTTTTGAGACAGGGTCTCCTATGTAGCACAGGCTGGCCTTGAACTCAGGATCCTCCTGCTTCTGCTTCTTGAGTGCTGGAATTAAAGATGTGCACCAACACACCTCGAAAGATTTTTTTCTTAATGCAAAGGGAAGATAGGGAATAAAAAATGAGGTCACTGGGAGTGGAATGGGATTTAAGAAAGGAGTGAGGGAGCTGGCTCAGCTCTCTGATTTCTGTCTTTCATTGCGGTCTAGGCTTTCCTTAGCATTAACCTATGAGGTAAATAGACACACTGACTAAAAAACAAACCTGAGGAAAGCTAGAAGAGAATTCACCAAGACTAAAGTCATTAGAATGGAACACCTTACATACTCAGTAGCAAGGTAAGTTTCTAGGAAGTCAGGCCAGCAGTCCTAGCTTCCGGGAGCTCAGGTCTTGTTCTCACCTGGTTTCCTTTTTCCCACTTTCAGAAAATGTGTAAGCACACTTTCTCCCATTCAACTTGTGGGAAATTTCTCAATTTGACTGTGGAGCAATAGAATTCTAGGAACAGGTAAGCCACCACAAATCCTCAGAAGTAGTTCTTATGGGAAGGAGCAAATGTTGGTATTTAAAATCCTACTGGCTTCGGAGGCACAGAGATGGGCCCCCAAGGACGATCCGGGTGGGTTTTTAACATCCCACTCACCCCCAATTCATCCCAAGTCTTACTTCCAGCTTCTTTCTCATAAAGTCAAGACTTCAGGAGACTGGTCTGTGGTCCAACCAAATGGGGCAAGAGAACGCAGGAAGAGACTGAGATGCAGGTCTCCAGCCTTCTAGGATTCCCACCCCCCTGTTGTCCCTGCAGACCCTAACGTCCAAGCTCTGAGGTTCTCCAGGCTCTCCCTTGGGCTTTGGGGCAGGATTCCCATTCTCTGCCTCTCCATCTCCCTGGAATTTTCCACTGCAGCTGCCTCCGCTCCCAGATACCCCTCCCTGGGCAAAATTCCCGGCTCCCTCCGCCTCCCCTTCCCTAATCACACCTCATTCCCACCCCCAGCCCTAAGGCCCAGCCCACAGTCCAGGCCACACCCCACGGTAATTCTGGTGGTCGAACTTGGAGAAATGAGGGACCAGATCCCTTATGAGAGGGTGAGTTGAAGGGTCCAACTCTCCCTTCTGGACGAGGGGAAAAAGGACAGCGGAGGGGCTGGTCCCCTGTGGGACTGGAGTGGGGGGAGTGGCCCTTCTCACATCCCCATATAAGGCAGGGCAAGCAGTTAGGCTCCTGGATTGGCTGATTCAAATGAGCATTCCACCTGGCAACAGAGTTTCTATTGGCTCTCAGGAAAAATAGGAGGAAGGTGGATGGAGGTTGTTGGTGGCGGTGATTTTGGGGGGGGAGGGGAGTAGAGGTGACCGGGAGTGGGGGGCGGTTACCAGGGCAACAGGGTAAGAGCCCAGCAGGGTGTCCGAGACAGCAGGCGGGGCTGGGAGATGGAGAAGAGGGAAAAGAAAAAAAGAGGGCGGGAGGGAGAGGAAAGAGTCCAACCCAGAGGGAGCGAGACTGGAAGACTGGGGGGGGGGGGGGGGGGGGGGAAAGAGGGGGAAGAGAGAGATGAGAGATAAATGAAGCAAGAGGGTACCGAGATGTAATACCGTGAGAGATTGCTAAAGACATCAGCCAATGAGTCAGAGAAACATATTGAGAAAGGGAAATGGAAAGATCTCAGAGAAAAAAGGTGGACAGAATTCTGCAAGGAAAAACTAGGGTGGGGCTCCACGATTTATGAGACCAAGGCGGAGAAACTGATTTAAGAGTCAGAGAAATCGGGAGGTGTGTACAAGGAACCAAAAGATGGTGTGTTGACGCACTCACTCACAGGCTAAATAATGATGATGAAGGATCAACAATGGCTTTCTTTCTTTTCTTTCTTTTCTCAGGATCCTCTCACTAAGTTGCCCAGGCTGCCCTCAAACTAGTGGCAAGTCTCCTGCCTCAGCCTCCCATGTGTTGGGATGTCATATCTGGCTAACAATTATGTTTTCATTAAGAAAATGAAAATGATTAAATGATTTGAATGACAAGTGAGCGTGCATACACATACGTTACACCCAAGATATCTTTTCCCAAACCCCAGCCTTCTACTCCATCCACCTTTCTGACCTTTAATCCACACCCCATCTCCTGTCCCCTCCTTGAAACCCCAAGCTTCTCAAAAAAGTCCCAAAGATGATCAATGGAAGGTTTAGGCGCTGAGGATGTGTGGAATAGGGTGTGGCTTTGCGGAACTTCAGACCTGGACTTACTTGTGTTTGCAAAAGCCAACCGAATACAGAAAGGCTGGGGAAGATGACTGCAAGAGAGAGAAAAGCAAAGCAAGGTTTTTAAAAAATGGGGACAGAAAGAGGAGCTGAAAATCAGCTGAGTTTATAGGACAGTGTGGTCTGGAATAAGTAAGGGGAGACACACGAGGTGGAAGTGGAGATGATGTAGAAGAAACGAGAAACGTAGATGGTTGTGAGGGAGAGGTGTTGGTACATAGGAATGAAGTGGAGAGAAACAGAAGGACCAGGGAAGAGTTGAGGTGAGACAAGATCAGGAAGAAAGGGGAGAGACAGGAGAGAGGAAAGGGAATCGGAAGGCCTCCAACTTCCCTTAAATCACAGCAAAGAGTCAGGAAGGAAGGAACCCAGCAAGGACCATAAATGTCAGGTCCAGAGGGTGAGAAGCCCAGGCTGCCCTTTCCACTGTGCCATCCCTTCTCAAAGCATGTGGACGGAGGACAGGAACCTGATGGGGAAGCAGCTCCACAGGCCCTCTTCCTCTTCTTTAAGCTTTTGGTTTCTCAAACACCTGCCTAGCCCCTCCATCTGCTCCCCGCTCCTGCCCTTTAGCAAACCCTCATGGCTTTCAGGGGGTCAACATATGTCTAGCCACCTCTCCAGTCCGCCCCCAGAAGCCAGCAAACCCTCATGGCTTTCAGGGGGTCAACATATGTCTAGCCACCTCTCCAGTCCGCCCCCAGAAGCCAGACTCCAGTTCGCAGGCGGTAGGCTGGGATTTGGAGCGGTGTCTCCCCGCTGGAACCCCACCCCTTTCCACCTCCTCGCCCCACTCGGCTCTCCGCGGCCGTCAGTCTCTCCATTTCCCCCTCCCGGTCTCGTCCTCCCTCCCGCCCCGCTCGCGCTCCCGCCCCTAGCTTTCATCCTCCTATCCCCACCTCTCCAGCCTCCTCTTTCATCCCCCTCCCCTCTCCTCTCCTCCCCACTCCCGCCTGCCCCACCCCTGGGAAGCCCCTCCCGTCGGGCAGCGCCGCCTTAAAAGCGGGTTCCCTTCCCGGGGGCGGCAGCGGCTGGTCGGCGGCAGCTCTGCTGGTGCGGGGGTGGCAAGCCGGACCGAGCGACCGCTACCAGAGCGCACCGGCCACCGCCCGCACCGCCCTTCCGCCCGCCCTCCGGACGGCCGCAGCCCTGCGGGTCTCAGCTCCGGACCCACCCCCGCCCCACCCCGCGCGCCTCTGCCGCCTCTTGCAGAGAGTCAGCTTGCCGAGCGGTCGCCGCTGTCGCTGCCTCCGCCGCCACCGCGCCAAGTTCCGGCCGCGGCCACCCTCCGCCGTCCAGGGCCCCTCCGTCTCGGCCCCGGGACCCCGGCTCCCCGCCAGCCCCGGCCCCGGCACCATGTCGGAGAAGAGCGTGGAGGCAGCGGCCGAGTTGAGCGCCAAGGTACGGGCAGGGGCGGTGGCGCGGCCCGGGGGCTCGGCGCGGTCCTTCGCCCCCGGTCACCCCCGACGGCCCCGAGCGGCCCTGGCGCCGGGTCCCCACGGACCCCACTCCGCCCTCCCCCCCGCTCAGCCTGGCGCTGCCTACCCGCATCGCGCGGCCCCGCCAGCGCCCCCTAGCTGTCCTGCGCACAGCGCACCGTGGCCGGGCTTCGCCGTCCCGGCCCGGACCGCGGTCCCCACCCCTCTCCAGCCCAGCCGCGCCCGCCTCGGCCCAGTCCGCCCTCCCGTCCGGAGCGCGGCGCGTCTCGCCTCCCGGGTGCCCTCCCAGCACACCGGCTCCGGGTCTCGTTCCACTCTGACTTCACCTTCCCTCTGCTAAGCGGTCAGTGTAAACAGGACCTCGGCCCCTCCCTTCGCTGCCTGACGCTTTCCCGTCCCTCCGTCACCCCTTCGGTCCATCCACATCCGTTCCCTCTCCACCACCGACTTTCAGTTTTTTCAAACACCCCCCCATCTCGAATTCCTAAAAATCGGAAAGGTGGCACGAATAGCCTTCGAAAAAACCGCGGCTCAAGCATTGCATAGCTTTACATCGAGGTGTCTTTGCTCTCTTCAACTCCCTCCCCCGGCCTTATCCCTTTGCCCTTGCCTCTCTTCCAGCGTTCCTCTAATTTCCCTAGGGAACCTGCCGAGTGTCGGTTTGGGAAATTAATGCGGCCAGTATTTGGAGGCTGGGAGCCTAAATCTTTGGGAACGGGGGAGGGGGGTGTAGTTCTGGAGGCCAAAAGTGGAAGGAGGGAGCTAATGTCATGAAAGGCAGTGGAAGAGGGGACGTGTGAGAACTGGCAAGGTATGCCTGTGTGGCCCTCCGGTGGGCTGTGCGGTGGCACGTGACATCACTGAGTAGGTGTCTTTGTATGTCTGAGATCCAGCGAGTGTGTGGGACTGCCCGTGTCAGTTACATGTGTGCATGTGGAGACCAAAATGTTCTGGAGCCGTTTGCTGCTTTGTGAGTGTCTAGTGGCTCCACTGTGCTCATGTGCTGTCTTCCAGCATGCCAAAATGCCCAAACACCCAACCGTGTGTCTCTAGAGCGAGTGGGTGCCCTGTAGCTGTGTGAGTTGGTGTTAGGCTGTGTCAGCAAGTGTGCTGTGTAGAAACCAGAGCTACTTAGCACAAGATCTGCAGGGGGGGCAGGTCACATATACTCCTGGAAAAGGGATCATGGAAGGACAGTGACCAAAAGGACAGTGCCCAGCCACTTGGACTTTGGTCTTTGGTATTCTCCCTTCCCCTCACCCTCTTCATCAGCCCAGATGGGAAGCTCAGGCCAGGTCTGACTTAGGCCAAGGACGACTCAGGCCAAGCTGACTTAGTCCCTTGGCAGGTCCAGGATGTAGAGAATAGCCCACCTAGTAACAGAAGTATTGGATGTACCACGTGGCAAGGAAATGACAACAAAGCAGAATGAAGAAGAAATGTACCTGGAGTGAGGGTCAAGTGTTCTATGCTCTCCTAAAGGGAGGAGTGTCCCTAGGCCAGTCATTTCGTCCTATAGTTCCTCTCCTAACCTCAGTCCTGTTCTAGAAAGGACATATCCTTCAGGGCTGATCTACTCACAGAAAACTCCCATCTTCTTGGGACCAGGTACACAGAGTTGCATACTAACACCAGATGAGATTATTATACAAGGACATGGTACCTGCCAGGGGGTGGAGAGAAGGCTAGAGTCTGAATGGAATGGGATGGCTGCTGTGTCCAGAGGGGATACCTACATAAGCTTCTCCCTCTGCCAGCCTGGAATAGAACATCAAGTATGTACCTGCTGGGGTCTTGGGGTGGAGAAGAGTGGGATAGTGTGGTGGGAGGGGACTCAGGTAACTCGCACCTTCCCATCCTTCCAGACACAAACCTTATTTGTTGTGCTCTCTTCCTTTCCATGTTTCTTTTCCAGTTTACCTACCTTTGCACTGCAGATGGCCACTTCTCTTCTGCCATCCCAGTGCATATACTATGAAAGTAGAGGGTGGGTGAAACTACTGGCACTGTGAGGGATGAGGGCTGGTTGAATGTGCTGGGGTACTCTTCTATCCCTGTACTGTTTGGCCAAGTCGGAACAGGAGGATTAGGAAAACGTGAACAGGGAAACAAAGGCCTTAGAAGCTGGAGGGGAAGCTGGGAGGGATGCCCAGGAGACAGAGTACTTAGGCAAAGGCCCCTGAGGTAGACAAAAGGCAGAGTAGGGCAGGCAGTGAAGGGGGTGGGTCATCCTGGCTGCCAGCAGATGGGGGATTTGCTTTGTGGAGCTGAACTCATCAGCCAGGGAGGTTTGGAAGAACTTGAGGTTGAGTGGGGCTGGTGTCAGCTGTTCTGGCTGCTTGCTTCCCTTTCCTCATAACTTTTCCACTCCTCTTGGATCTTGGGGAAGGAAGTCTCCTGTATTAGCCAGTTATGGCTCAAATTTAAGAACCCAAGGACCTCTGTTGTGTCTTAAGCTGTGGCCATCTTCATTTAACACACCTTTGTCTTCTGCCTTTCAGGACCTGAAGGAGAAGAAGGAGAAAGGGGAGGAGAAGGCAGGCCGGAAAGAGAGAAAGAAAGAAGTAGTGGAGGTATGGACAGGGAAGGCAGGAGATGATCACACTTACCCTAACTTCTTCCCTCCTCAGCTGCCTTCTTGGGGTGTTAGGGTCCTGCATCCTTCCATGGACCCCTCCATCCTTCCTTTCCCATCCTGATGCTCCTAAGCCCTTTTGTCACCCAGTGGGTGGCAGCATACATCCAACCTGACATTGCTCCCTGTCTTGGTCCCCACAGGAGGAGGAAAATGGAGCTGAGGAGGAGGAGGAAGAAACTGCAGAGGATGGAGAGGAAGAGGATGAAGGGGATGAAGAAGGTGGGGAGGGGTAGGGAAGGCTGGTCTGGAAAAGTTGGGGTTCAAAATAGCAGAGTCAGGGAGGAGTTGAAGACCAGAAGCAGGGCTGAGGGCAACCACAAGGGGGTCTGTACCAGAGCTCCCTGCCCTTCCCCAATGACCCATTTCTGGCTCCTCAGATGAGGAAGAAGAAGAAGAGGATGACGAAGGGCCCGCGCTGAAGAGAGCTGCTGAAGAGGAGGTTTGGGCTGGGTTGGGGTCTGAGGGGCTGTCAGGGATACAACAGGGGCTGGGTATCCTTTGGATGTGAACCCAGGTCCATGTGGTGGCATGGGCGGGGGCTGGAGCAGGGCCAGCTGGGATAGGGGGAGGTCTTTACCATTTTACAACTACCCCAAATCTTTTCCCTCTCCACAGGATGAAGCGGATCCCAAGAGGCAGAAGACAGAAAATGGGGCGTCGGCATGAGCCCCTGCTAGTGGGCTTGGGGGTGGGAGGCCTCTCAGGGCCTGGAGGTGGGGTGGGAACACACAAGTACAGCCCCCCTTCTCCTGGCTCCCTGCTCTGGCCCTGCCCCAGAGCTGCCACCCTCATCCTTCTCCCTAGCCTCCCATTTCCACCTCTCCACACACTGCTCCTCCCTCACTGCCATTGTTCCATCTCCTGACCTGCCTCATCTGAGCTCCCAGCTGGTCCTCACTTGCCCCTCACCCATTCCTTGCTCTCTTCCTGCCTTCCCTCAACATCCCATCTGTCCTAGTCCTTGAATAGCCTCACCCTCTGCATTCCCAGCCTCTTGTCCTGCCCTTCCCTCTCCTGCCTGATCCCTGGGTCTCCCTCAGATTCCCTCCTCTCAGACAGCGCCAGGCCAGGGTGGGGCCGGGGTTGGGGCCAAGCCCCGAAGCTGCCCCCCTCCCCTCCCCTTTTTGTATAATTTAATAAAGAAACGGTCGCGCTTCTGTTTTTAACCTGTCTCCTGCTTTCCCAGGGTCCAGTCAGTACAATGAAAGATTAGAGAGGCAAGAGGGTGGCTGACCTCATACCCAGATTGTGAAAGACAAGATCAGCCCTAAAGGGGGCACTCTGAGCCCAGCTCTTCCTCTCAGGGCTGATTTATATCCTATTTTGGGTTCTTGAGGATGCACCTTCCCAGCAATGCACATACTTCGCTGCTAACCCACACAAGATCTAGACACTGCTGAGCCCAGTGGAAAGCTACCAGCTCTGTTGTGCTGAACCAGGCAAATAGAAACAGCCCCAGAAACCGGAAGTCCCACCCCCTGAAGAGGGAGAGGCTGGTAGGCCTGGGTCTCAACCTAGAATTTGGAAAGAAATGCCTGCCATGGGCATGTCTGACATGGGGAAGCATACTCCTCAGGTCAGGCAGGGGAGAGCTCCAAGGGTTACCAGTGGTTACCAGGCCTGACTTCTTGTCAACTATCCAACTTTTGAGGCTGGGCTGGCCTCACCTGGGGAGCAAGAGTTGCCAGAGTCCTCTCAGACCTCTAGCACTTCTGTGTATTGTTTTTGTTTTTGTTTTTTATATTTTGTTGACATAGGGTCTTCCTGTAGCCCAGGCTGACCCTGAATCACTAATGTGGCCCAAGCAAGTCTGAAACTCAAACCATCCTATCTCTACCTTCCAATTGCTAGAATTACAGGGGTGTGCCTCTCAGTTTTCCTTCTTGCCCTGCTACAAGATTTCTGAATTATTGCATCTCCACAGAGCCTTGTCTTTACTTCTTAGTACAGAACCTCTGGATGGGGGAAACTTCGAAGATGGAAGAGAAAGTATCCTATTGTCAGGGCTGGAGTGATGGCCCAGTGGTTAAGAGTGCTTGCTGCTCTTATAGAAGACCCAAGTTCAGTTCCCAGCACCCATGTAGGGTAGCTCACAACCACCTATAATTCTAGCTCCAAAGGATTTGACATTCACTTACAGACTCTGTGGGCACCTGCACAGCCTTGGTATCACAGAGACATAATAAAAATCTTTAGGCATGGTGGTACACACCTTTAATCTCAGCATTTAGGAGGCAGAGGCAGGCTGATCTCTGAGTTGGAGGCTACCTGGTCAGCACAGCACAATTCATACCAGTTAGTGCTACATAGTGAGATCCTGTCATATATCCAGGGGCTAGAGAGAGGGCTCAGTGGTTAGGAGCACTGACTGCTCTTGCAGAGGACCTGGGTTCAGTTCCCACAAGGCAGCCAATAACTTTCTGTAACTCCAATTCCAGGAAATCTGACGCCCTCTTCTGACCTCCACTGGCATTGCATGCATGTGGTACACTTACATGCAGGCAAAACACATTAAAAAAATAAAAAAGAGTATCTCATTGTCACCATCTTAGGAGATCAAAAGATACCCCATAACTCCGGGTCAGGACTAAACACAGCTTTTGCCTTCATGCTCCCTAACCTTGGCAAATTCTTTAAAGTCTGAGCCCCAGTTTCCTCATCTGTACAAAGCAGGGAGGGCATTAGGGTTCATGAGTTGCTGTACGGAAAGTCTACACTACTGTACCTAGCACAGAAGGAAGGTTTTTATACTCCCCCCACCAAGCCTGTCCCCAGATCCGATAACTTGTAGGGCGTGATGACGCTTCCTGTGCACTCTGTCTAGGAGGTGTCAAAGAACTAGAGAGGCACATCTACATGGGTAATGAAGCTCTGGGAGGTTAAATGGGACCCAAAACAAGAAGAGTATGAACGTTGGGACAGAGGAGGGATCTTAAATATACACCTGTAGGTTAGCAGGGTAGGAGGAGAGAGAGAAGTGAATTGGACAGTAGGGTGTGGGGAGAGAGAGAGAGAGAGAGAGAGGGAGGGAGAGAGAGAGAGATGAGAGAGATTTGGTGGGCAGGGTAGAGAAGGGGTGAAGAGGGGGCGGTGGGGACACCCGGGTCTGAGGAAGTAAACAAGGGGAGAGCCACCACAGAGGTGGAGGGTGATGCTGCTGGGAATCAGCCCCCTCAGACTTTCCACTGCGAATTTTGTGGGGGGGCAAAGGGGAGGGGAAGTGGGGAAGGTGGAAGGAAAGCAGGACAGGGGCCCGCCCTGGGCCAGCAGAACAGCATCCCAGCTTACTGCAGCCACCTTGCCTCCATTCTGCTCTCTGCCACTGTCCTACCCTGTGCTAGGGGTGCATCAACCCCACCTCACCTGGCCTTTTTTCCTTGGAGTCCAGCCTTTGATCATTGGTTCTCCTCTGTCTCCAGACCTCCCTCTTGGTGGTCCTCTTTACCCTACATTCCTTTCCTCTGCCTCACCTTCCCTCTTTGTAGAGTTCTTTTGTCTCCAGGTACCCATTGCTGACCTCCCTTGGAAAGATCAGGGAGGCCCAGGCCATAGGGGAAATGAGGGAGGTTCTGTTCCTGGGCCTTCTGTTTCTTCAACTGCTGTGGGAAGCTCCAGGTAAGACGGGGGTTTGGGAGAAGCCAGCAGGGATCTCTCTATACCCCCTTAAGATTCTATTAGCTCTGTGGTGGTCTTTTCATGCCTTTCTCGGGGTAGTCCTAATGGAAACCCAAACTCTTCCTCCATTCTGTTTCTCCCTTGGGAGACACTAAACTCCTCTATTCCCAAGTCTCTTGACTCATTACCCCTCCCCCTGGCCTCTCTTTTGCTCCCTTAGTGGAGGCCTCAGGACCTGGGAAAGAGGTCAAGGTGGTGTGGGCCCAGGAGGGGACTCCTGCCCATCTACCCTGCAGGCCCACAATCCCTAACCAGGATTCCAGCTTTCTGAGGATAAGAGGGGTCACTTGGCAGCATCAGCCAAACAGGTATGCACCCCAAAGCTGGGTGGCAGAACCTCCCAACCCTGGGCTAATGGCATCCTGACACAAGCCAACATCCAAGCCAGTTTTGTGCCCTCCTACTGAGCCCCTTTGAAGCCAGTGGCTGTACACAGCCTTCCTGTGATTTCTCTACCGACTGCTCCCCACACATCTGCATGCCATCTCTCCAGCGAAAGATGGTGCCGGGGACCAATGGAACTGGGGACAGGGATAAGGAGTCGGGTGAGAGCGGGGTGTGTGTGCTATTGATAGTCAAGAGGTTTCTTAGGCAGGCTATAGGTAATGGTTCAACCTCAAAGTATGGTTGGACTGCATCTTCTCCATGACTTTTAAACACGGAATTTCTTAATCCTATTCACTTTCGGTCTAGTGGCCCGCCTACTCCCATCCCTGCCCTTGACCTTCACAGGAGGATGCCCTCGCCCCGGGGGCGGGCGCCCCAGCGCTACACGATGCTAAGCATGTCTTCAGGAGGCTTGCTCAGCTGGAGGTTGCCGGTGAATCCCCGCGTGCAGCTGGAGGAGCGCGGCCTCCAGCGCGGGGACTTCTCACTGTGGTTGCGCCCGGTCCTGCGCGCGGATGCCGGCGAGTACCACGCCTTGGTGCGCCTCGGAGACCCGGACCCGGACCGCACCCTTGCCTGTCATCTTCTCCTGCGCGTAGGCCAGGCCTCGAGTAGGTGGGGCAGGACGGAGGGAGAGGGAATGGGAGGGAACTATTCCCCCATCCCTACCACCCCACCCGGAGGCAGGAAGCGCTATGAAGGTTGCGGTGCTTTTAGACCCAGCCTGAGGGCTTCCAGAAGGGTACATACAGAAAGGGGTTGGCAACCTGATGACGGGGTGGAGATGCACACTTCTGTGGAGAGATTGTATCACCCCCTAAACCCCCTTCCCCCACCTACAACAGGAGGTGGGGAGCAGAAGAGTGATTCATTTAAGATATCTGTAGCTCAGCGGGTGGATTTAGTAACGACCTCCATGCCAAGTAAACTGGAGACAGGAGAGAGTGAAAAGGAGTTCAGGACTTTTGGGGTACTTTAAGCACTTCCAGGTTTCAAGTACTGAGTTGCAAAAGGAGGCTGCGTGGAAAAGGCAAATCTAAAAGCATGGTCCCTGTTTTTTGAGTTTTCAGCTTGGTTTGGCTTGCTGTGCTAAGAAAGCATTTCCACCCAGTGGATTGATTGCCTGTTTTATTCTTGCCCAGTGATTGCCAATCCCCCAGGAGTCCTCAGGCCGTCAGATCGGGTCATTTTGAATTGCTCATACAGCCGCCCTGACCCCCCAGCCTCTGTGCACTGGTTCCGGGGCCAGGCCCGAGTCCCTGTCCAGGAGTCCCATCACCACTTAGCTGAAAGTTTCCTCATTCTGCCTCGAGTCAGCCCCCTGGACTCTGGGCCCTGGGGCTGTGTCCTCACCTACAGAGATGGCTTCAATGTCTCCATCACCTACAACCTCATGGTTCTGGGTAACTACTAAACTGCCTTTGCTCTTGACCACACCCCACCCCCTTCCTGCCTTCCACCCCCTGACTCATGGGCCCCCAAAGCAGATTTTCAGTGAAGGTGTCACCTCATTCTCTGTATCTCAGTGGCCAAACCCTTTCTTCTATGACAGTCTTTTCGTTGCCATCTCCCCTTGTATGTGTCTCTTGGCCATGCAGGCTCTCGATAGCCTTTGTCCTGCTGGCCCAGCCTAGTCTGAGATTCCCCAGCATCCTCTGCTTGTCCACTTTGTTTTGTTTCTTTTCATTTCATAACAGAGCTACCTCCTTCCCCCTTCTGCCTCCCTTCCACGCAGTTCCAGCACTCCAGCCCACTGCACACCCATCTCTTGGTTTTAACTTTGGGTTCCCTTTTCTCCCCAGGTCTGGAGCCTCTGGCACCCTTGACGATATACGTTGGTGTAGGTTCTAGAGTGGAGCTGCCTTGCTATTTGTCCCCTGGTGTGGGGACCCCTTCTTTCCTCATTGCTAAGTGGGCCTCTCCTGGGGGAGGCCCTGACCTCCAGGTGCCTGGGAAGGATGGCAACTTCACCCTTCTACTTAAGGCTGTAAGCCTGGCGCAAGCTGGGACCTACACCTGCAGCATCCATCTGCAGGGGCAGCAGCTCAGCACTACTGTCACTTTGGCAGTCATCACAGGTCAGCCACAGGTGGGAAAGGAACAGCTCTCATCCCAGGGGAGCAAGCACTAGGGAGGGAGGCTGGTTGATCAGACTGCACATGTACTTCATGATGTCAGGCCCTTAGGTTCAAGTTACAGCTTCTTTTATATTCTTCCCAAAATGTGTGTGTGTGTGTGTGCATGCAGGTGTCCTTAGAGGTCAGGAGATAGTGGAGGATCCTCGGGAGCTGGAGTTACAGCAGTTGTGAGCTGTGAGCCCAGTGTGAGTACTGGGAATTGAACCTTCATCTTCTAGAGGAACAGCAAGCACTCTTAATCACTGAGCCATCTGTCCAGCCACTATTTTTTTTTAATATTTTACTTACTTTTATTTTATGTGTACGTACGGTAGTTAGCCACTATGTGGGTGTTGGGAACCGAACCTGGGTCTTCTGCAAGAGCAGCCACTTCTCTTAACCACTGAACCATCTTTCCAGATCCCCGTTTTTTTTTTTTTAAAAAAAAGTTAATTTAAAAAATTTATAAACCGGGCGTGGTGGCACATGCCTTTAATCCCAGCACTTTGGAGTCAGAGGCAGGCGGATCTCTGTGAGTTCAAGGCCAGCCTGGTCTACATAGTGAGTTCCAGGACAGCTGGGGCTACAGGGAGACCCTGTCTCAAAAAGACCAAAAAAAAAAGTTTATATTAGTGTGATATGTGTGTGTGTGTGTGTGTGTGTGTGTGTGCATGATGGGGGTAGCATGTGCCCCCATGTATGAGGCACATGTATGAGGTCACAAAACAACTTTGTGAAGTCAGTTCTCTCTACCCACCTTTACTTGGGTTCAGGGAGATGGAACTCAGGTTCCCAGGCTTGCATGGCAAGTGCCTTTATCTGTTGACCCATCCTTGCCTGCCTTCTGTTTGGTTTTTGAGATAGGGTCTCATGTGGCCCAGGCTGCTATGTAGCTGAAGATGACCTTGAACTTCTTCTGTTTCCACCTCCCAAGTGCTAGGATTACAGGTGTGTGCCACCATGCCTGTCAAATTATGAGCTGTTTTTTCACCCTCATAATTAAAAAAAAATCCTGAAACTGAAAATCTCCCCTTGAGTCACAAAATAAAAGTTCCACTGTTCTCTAAGGGACTCCCCTGCTCTGAATTGGCGGGAGAGTCTGAGAAGCCAGAAAGAGAGTGGATAAAAGTTTGAATGCTTCAGAGGAGATATTCTAGAATTCTAGAATTTTTGCCTGCTTTTGGCCCAGGGATTGGTTAAAGTTATATAAATTGGTCTGGCTTCAGAGGGAGTTAATAAATCAGTCCCTTGTCAGCAAATATTTACTGAGTAAGGGTTTTCCACGACAGTATAAAACAAACACAGGGAAAAATATTCAAAGAGCATGTGTTCATTGATTGGTAGCGATCTGTCTCCACAGATTAGCTACTTCTAACAGTGTTCACCTGTAGCTATTAAGCAGGAAATAGCACGACAAAGTAGGTACTTAACGCACATTAAAGCCAGGTGTTGTGGGGCATCCCTATAATCCCAGTACTTGGGACGTGGAGGCAGGAGGATCAGGAGTTCAAGGCTAGCTTTGGCTATATAGTGAGTTCAAGACCAGTCTGGGCTATCTGAGACCTTATCCCAGAGAAATAGCTCCTTAACCTCACTTGGAACCCCGTCTTTTCATATCAATCCTTTTGCTGACTCAGACTGTCAGTAACTTCACTGGAATCCCACTCACCCCAAACCTTGGCCTCCTTCTCTATGACATCCAGCAGTCAGTCACTAAAACCCACCCATTCTTTTTGCCCAGTGTTAATGACCAGGCTTTCACTATGTAGCCCAGGCTGGCCTGAAGTCTCTGCCTCTCTGGTACTAGGATTACAGGCTTGTGCTGCTATGTTCAGCTTTACTAATGTCTTTCTTCTCTTTATTCTCCCCTCCCCTTTCTTTAAACAGGGTCTCATGTAGCCCAGGCTGGTTTCAAACTTACTACATACCTGAGATTCTGAAATTGGCCTTAAACTCTTGATCCTTCTGCTTCTACCTTCAAGGGCTGGGATTGCAAGTGTGAACCACCGTGCCTGGCCTCCAGTGCCTTCCTTCTCTGCCTCTCCTCCGTGCCCTTCCCCTTTTGAGACAGGGTCTTATGTGGTTTAGGCTAGGCTCAAACTCACTATGTAGTAGAGTATGGCCTTGAACTTCTGATTCTTCTGCCTCCATATCCCAAGAGCTGAGATTATAGGCACCCAATTTATGTGGTGCTAGGGATTGAACTGAAGGCTTTGTGCTGCTAGGCAAACTATCAGCTGAGCTAAATTCCCAGCCCTTCAGTGACTTCTAAAAGATCAACTGTTTATATCCAACAGCTCAGCAGAAGAGATATTGTTACTCCTGATTTACAGAGAAGGAATGTTCTCAAAGTCACACTGCTGAGAAGTGCTAGACTCAGGGTCTAAACTTGAAACTTAGATTTCTGTTTTACCAAGTCCCCCATATGCCATGCTCAGCAGGGTCAAGGCCCTTTACCATTTGTCTGCTCCTACAACCTTACCTCTATTCAGCTTTGAGCGTGCTCTGTCTGTGGATCAATTGGTTGATTACTTTTTCTGCAAATGTTCAGGAAGGGGGCATAAAATTCACACAGAAGCACCACAGGCTGGGGCACAGATGTGAACCAAATCATGGAGGCAGGGAAATTGTAGGGCATACAGGGAGCTAATTCACCTGACAGATACTGAGCATTTTAGAAGAAAGTAACAGGAGAGAATCAGAAATTATATGTATATGTATCTATCTTTTTTTTTTTTTGGTCTTTTTGAGACAGGGTCTCCCTGTAGCCCCAGCTGTCCTGGAACTCACTATGTAGACCAGGCTGGCCTTGAACTCACAGAGATCCACCTGCCTCAGCCTCCGGAGTGCTGGGATTAAAGGCATGTGCCACCACACCTGGCGTATCTATTTTAAAGGTTTATTTTTTAAATTATGTTTATGTGTGTATGTCTGTATGTGGGTATGTATATGTGTGTGCAGGTACCTCTGGAGGCCAAAAGAGGGTGTTGGATTCCCTGGAGTTGGAGTTACAGGCAGTTGTGAGCTGCTAGATGTGGGTGCTGAGAACAGAACTTCAGTTCTCTGGAAGCACAGCAAGATTTTTTAACTGCTGAGCCATCTCTCCAGACAAGATGTCATATAGCCCAAACTGGCCTTGAAATCAGTGTGTAGTGAGGGATGATAACCTTGTGTATTTGGTCTTCTTGCCTCTACACTCAGTTTATGTGGTACCGGGGACTGAATTTAGGGCTTCATACATTCTAGGCCAGCTCTCTACCAACTGAGCTACATCTCCTGCCTGAAATAGTATTTCTCATGTGGCCTTCAGTACCAGTTTGAATAATGTCTTGAAGTACTGGGAACATTTTGACCTGGGGAACAATCAGACCAGATTATTATTTTAAACATAATCTGGCCAGGGATGGAGGGATATTCCTATAAATCCAGTACTCAGAAGGCAGAGGCAGAAGAATCCAGAATTGAAGGTTATCCTCAGCTACCTAGTAAATTCAAGACCAGCAAGAGACACATGAGACTGTCTCAAAACAAAACAGAAGATTAATTTGGTCATGATCTATGATCTCTACCCTTGAGATTTTCCCAACCAGATCCCCAGTGAAAGTCAGCTGACAGAGATGTGTAAAATGGCAACTGTAAAGCTGGGCGTGGTGGCACATGCCTTTAATCCCAGCACTTGGGAGGCAGAGGCAGGCATATCTCTGTAAGTTCAAGGCCAGCCTGGTCTACATAGTGAGTTCCAGGACAGCTGGGGCTACAGGGAGACGCTGCCTCAAAAAAAGAAGATGGCAACTGTGGTAACAAGTAAGGGGTCAAGACCCCAAGAGATCTCTTCCCTCTTATTTTTCAGTCACTCCTAAATCCATTGGGTTACCTGGCTCCCTGGGGAAGTTGCTGTGTGAGGTAACCCCAACATCTGGACAAGAGCATCTTGTGTGGAGCCCCCTGGGCAAGCAGTCCGGGAAGAGTTTCCCAGGACCCTGGCTGGAGCTGCAGAAGGCCAGACTCCTTTCCCAGCCTTGGCAATGCCAGGTGTATCAGGGGGAGAGGCTTCTTGGAGCAGCAGTGTACATCGCAGAGTCTAGTCCAGGTCTGAGCCCTCAAAGCACCATGGCTCCAAATCCAAAGCAGTCATCTTGATCCCTTTCTAAGCCCTCAACCTTTGCCTCTTCCCTTCCCAGCTTCCTTCCCAATCAGGGACCTGACCTCAGGCTCTCTAGGTCTGACCCATTTCTGTCACTAATTACCGGAATGATCCTGGACAAATCCCTTAACTCTCTAACCTCGTTGTATCTGTAGAGGTTGAGGGTGTAGTAAGATGTCTTCTTCATCCCTGACCCTAGGCCTAATCCTGTGCTTTCTTTATAGGTGCCCAGAGCTCTGGGAGAATCCCAAGTGACCTCAAAGGAGGCTATCTCCCTCTCTCGCTCTTCCCTGGTATTTTCTCACTGTTCCTTTTGGTGACTGGGGCCTTTGGTTTTCACCTATGGAGAAGACAGGTGAGCCAGGGACATAGCTCTCCTCAGTCCTCAGAATGCTGTGTGGCACCCCTTCCTTAGGGAAGATATCCGTAGTAGACTCTGAGTATGGCACCAGAGCCCCCCTTGTCATAAGCCCTATACTAGAAACTCCTTGTACTGGGGAAGCTTAAAGGGGCAGAAAGAAAGGCCTGGGGCCAGTTGGGAAAAGCAGAAGATTAGGAAGAAACAAGGACTCGGTATGGTCTCCCTTCATCAACTTCTCCTTCATGCTCCATCACCCTTTCCATTCTTGCAGTGGCGCTGGAGAAGATTTTCTGCCTTAGAGCATGGGATTCACCCTCCTCGGGCTCAGAGCAAGACAGAGGCGCTGGAACAAGAACAGGAGATGGAGATGGAGGGGCAGGAACCCGAGATGGAGATGGAGGGGCAGGAGCCGAAGCTAGAGCCGGAGCCCAGGCAGCTCTGATCGAGAGCTGAGGCCGCCTGCAGATCTCAGCAGTTCAGTCCAAATAAACTCCCTGTCAGCAGCAGCAAGCTGTAGTCTGACTCTTTCTTGTCCAGGGATGGTTCCAGTCTCTCAGCCTCTAGGGGCTCCCTTCTCCCACTCCAGCCTCCTAACCTACTTTCTCCAGCCAGTCTCCCTCATCATCCCCTTTTCTGCTTCTGGCCTCTTGTGTGTTACTCCCTCTCTCCTGAGTAATCCTTTTTTTTCTAGAACTCCAAAGAGCCCTCACCGCTTACCTCCAGAGCCTAGTCTCCTGTCTCCTATCCACATTGTGCTGGCTGTCCTGGTTTCCTTTATGTTTTCTGTTCCTCTGGCCCACCCGAAGCTCAGTTGTATTTCAGTATTCGTGCTTAGTTATCCCCCTGGCTGCCTTGGATGAGTGCACAGACACACAGACACACAGAGACACACAGACACAGACACGCACACACACACACACACACACACACACACACACACACGCATGCCTGCCATGTCAATTCCTCCAGGAGACGGGGGCCTCTTAATTTTTCTGGGCAACCCACTGAGGTTGCTACCTCTGCCCCATCCCCCCATGTTTGTCAGCCATGGGTGACTCTTCTGGGCTCAGGCATGACAGCATACTGCCACCTAGTGGTCACTGATTGTCATGCCCCAGAGGAGGTCACGGGGCCAATTATTTTGGCAGATCTGCCATCTAACACTGCAGTGGGCAAGGTGCTTCACTTGGTGTGTACTGTGTGTGCAGAATGTGAGTGTGCACCCAGCAGCTGTCATGTGTCCTATGCACCCTGCAGGAGGGGGCCCGAACAATGCATGCTTCAGGAGATACAGCCCTGGCCCTGGCAAGGTTATAATCCAAGTCTGACAAAGAGGAGGGCTGTAAACAAAGGCCACAGGAGGGGAGAGAAACCGCCTGCAAGGCAGCTTGCTGTTGCTGCAGCTGTGGGAGTCAGGAGGCCTGGCTTCTGGCTGCCAATGTGACTGTTGCCAATCTCCCTGATCCTTAGTTTCCTAGCCTATTAAATGGGACAATGGCCAGGTGCAGAGGCATGCAGCTGAAGTCTCAGCCACAAGGTAGGCTGAGGATCCCTTGAGTCCAGGAGTTTGGGACCAGTCTGGGTAATGTAGGGAGACCTCATCTTAAACACACACACACACACACACACACACACACACACACCAGGTGTATGGTCTACTTGGGAAGTCAGCTACATAGTGAGTTTGAGACCAAACTACATGGCCTGAGCTACATCAAACCCTGTCTCAAAAATAAATCAATAAGGGACTGGAGAGATGGCTTAGAGGTTAAGAGCACCTACTGCTCTTCCAGAGGACCTGGGTTCAGTTTCCAACACCCACATGACAGCTAACACCAATCCTTAACTACAGTTACAGGGGATTCAATGCCCTCTTCTGGCCTCCATGGGCATCACTTACATGCATGCAGGGTAAAACAATCCACATAAGATAAAAATAAATAAAATATTTTTAATAGGATCAGTGAGATGATACAGAGAGTAAAGTTTCGTACCACGCAAGCCTGGTGACCTGGCTTCAGTGCTGCAGCTGTAGGACCCATGGAAAGTCAGAAGGATAGAGCAACCACAAAGCTGTCCTTCGGGAACTTTACATAGCATACAGCCCCCCATACACATCATGTACATACATGTAATAATAATCAAAAAAATTAAATAAGGGGCTGGAGAGATGGCTCAGAGGGTAAGAGCACTGGTTCTCTTGCAGAGGACCTGGTTTGGTTCCCAGCACACACATGTTGGCTAACAACCATCTGTAATTCCAGTTCCAGAGGATCAGACACCCCCTTCTGACCTCCACAGGCATTACATGATACAGGTACACTTACATGTAGGCAGTACACTCATACAAATAAAATAACATTGATACATTAAATATTTGTAATTAAATAAAATAAAAAAGACAATGATAGGGGCTGAGGAGATGACTCAGTTGGTAAAATGCTTACCGTGTAAGCATGAGGATCTGCATTCAGATCCCCAGCACCCACATAAAAGCTGGGAGACTGCCAAAGATGTCTTTAGGACTTCACTTTATTGTCATTCTCTTTATTCTCTGTCCCCAAGTCTCTGCCCTTGTGTCTCTGTAGATAGAGAGATCTTCAACCTTATGCTTGCATACAGACACCTGATAGCCATCTATATGCCACCCTGAACCCCTGGCAGACTCCCTTCCACTTGCTTTTTGCCTCATGTGCAAGGTTAGCTTTCCCTGACGAACAGCTGTCTGAGGCAAAGACCAGGGCTCTGCACTCATTGTGTGGGGGCTTGAGTCTAGGCCCTACACCAGACTTGAAGGTGCCATTGGCTGAGGCCCAGTTTGTTCTGTTGCAGAGGCTCCTCACCATCTCTGCCTCAAGACCCTTCTTTCCACAGCCTCAGTGGAAGCCACCATGTTTTCACAGGGCAGGAGTTTCCTGGAAAGTTCCGTGGGTGGCATTTTTCCTTTCTACTAGATAACAACCCATGCCCTTTGGGCTTATGAAAGGAGTCATTGAAGATTCTCGGGGGCTTACACAGGGACTTCCCCACTCTCTTTCATGAAGGGGACAGAGGTAGAAAGAAGGACCACCTAGCTCCTCTACCTACCTTAGAAGAGATACAAAAAGACAGAAGGACAGGGAGCAGGGGGTTTGTGTGTAATAGTGCTGTTCTGTGGGGTCTTTTTTAGGAGAAAGGTTCCTGCTCCCACACCCTCCCCCACAAAGTCCTATTCTCTAGCACTAGCAGGATAATTTATAGACCTTTCCATGTCCTCCTCCTAAGATCTCCAGGGAGCTGGGTCAATTCCTTGGGTATCTCTAAGACTTTTGTGTGTGTGTGGCATTGAGGATGGAACCCAAGGTTCATGTTTGATAGACAAGTGGTCTGCCACTGAGCTCCATCTCAGCTCAGTATCTACCAGCTTATCTATAAACCAGTGTTCTGGGCTGGAGGTCTGGTGGGGAAGGGATGTTAGGAGGTAAGTTGCTCAGGGAGCTTTAGTGGGTGGGAGATGGTCTTAGAAGGAAGGGGTATGTGTGTTATAGTTATCTATTGCTGCATAAAAAATAAATCATCACCCTAAAACTTCATAAAATTCTCCCAGTCAGAAATCAGGAACAGCCTAGCTGAACGGTTCTGGTACAAGGTCTTTCATGAGGCTGCTGCTGAAGCGTGGCCAAAGCTGTGGTCAAGACTTGGCCTGGGCTGGAGGATCTGCCTCCCAGAAGGTTCACTCAGCTGACCGAGGGCCTGATGCCTCGGTTCCCTTCTCAGGACCAAAATGGCAAGTGGCTCTCCTGTGATGGACAGGATGGACAAGACCAAATCTACCATGTCCTCACCATCTGATCGTCAAAGTGACATGCCATCATTTCTGCCCTTATCTATTGGTCACAAGGGTGATTGTGGTTCAATGTGGGAATGGGCAAGATAAGGCTATAAACCAAGGAAGTAGGATTGCTGGGGTCACTTACAGCCAGCCTATCATCAGGGAGCCATGCTTGAGTGACAGACAACCCAAGAGAGGGGAGGGGCATCCCTCATCATCTCCATGGCCAGCCCTCTCATGGACCTGGCAGCCTCATTCTTTATAACTGTCTAGAAATTCTAGAGTTCGAGAAAGGTCAAGTCTGTCAGGCAGGAGGCTATACTGTGGGCATTGAGACCTGTGGCCACTGCTCCTCCTACCTCTGACCTGGTTTTCTAAACTCCATGGGGCAGGTCAGGCCCAGAGACTTTTCCATCCTGCTTCCCTGACCAGGAAGAGGTGTTGGGGTTTAAACCTGAGCTCTTGCTGTTACCCCTCTACAAAGAAAAAAGAACAATAGGCCTAGATTTCCCCTCTGGGCCCCACCCCAAGATGGAGTCTCCTCTTTAAAGAGAATGGGGTTGGGGTGGGGACAGGTTCTATCTGCCCCACTCTGTGGCTGGCAGTTTCTCCAAACTGGGGCTGCAGGTGTCAGCTGGCTGAACACAGGCCAGGCTCTGAGCTGTTCTACCTCTAATCTGTCATGGGTGGAGGACGTCTCTGAGGGCTGCAGAAAGTGGCCATGGAGCTTAGCAGCTCAGGAAATTGCAGCCAGGGTGGAGGTGGGATTGCTCCTTCTAGATCTTGCTTCCAAGGAAAAGCCTTAGAAGCCCATCTAGCTCTTCACCCCATGCACCATCCCCAGCTCTCTTGTAAGAGTGTCAGTGTAACAGCAGATGTCCTCGGAAGGAGGTCACCACAGGGCTGCACCTGGTGCTCCACTTCCCTAGTCGTCGTGGTCGTCGTGTCGTGGTCTTCCCCCCGCCCCCCCCCCGCCTCATCTCCCACCATGCTGGGGGCCCTCTGCCTCCCATCTCCTGTTCTCTCCCACTGGCCTCCTCCCTGTCTTCTAGCCAAGAAGCACAGAATACATGCAGCAAAAACAGCTCTTCACCAAGAACTGGGAGTTTGGAAAGCCCCAGGCTCCATGCTTCCTACCATGTGAGGGGGCAGAGAGCTTGATGGTTTCTTCTGTCAAATGAGGATAGCAAGCTGGCCGTGGTTGTTCATGTCTATAATGCTTAAACTTGGTTGGGAGGCTGAGGTGGGAGGATCTCTAATTGCCGGCCAGTCTGGGCTTCACAGATCTGATAGGATCTGAGATTCTATCTCAACAAAGCAGAACAAAACGTGATAGTTCTTTCTAAAATTTTTATTTTTGTGGTACTAGACTGAACCCAGGGCCTTACACAAGCTGATCTACTGTCGAGCTATCCTCAGTCTTAATTATATATTCATTTATTTTGAGTCAGGGTCTAACTGGCACAGGCTGGCCTAGAACTCCTAATCCTCTTGCCTCAACCTCCCAAGGACTTGGATTGTAGGAGGATTCCCCACGCCTGGATCCAATGTTTTAGCGGACACATCAAATCATAAAAATTGCACATATTAATAGGAGTGCAATAAAATGTATAGATTGATACATATGTTAAGTAATAAATCAAGCTAAACATCTATCTACTTGAAACATTTGTCATTTCATCATAGGGA